ACCCTCCCCATCCGGCTGCACTGGCCCCGCCCCAGACCTCCCTGTCCCGCACTCGCCCCGCCCTGGCTCCTCCCCCACACTGGCCTGGCCCCACCCACCAGCCCCTGCCACACTGGCCCCGCCCAGTCCCAGACTGGCCCCACCTCATCCAGCATGTACCACACCATTGGTTTTGTCTCTGTGTCTGTGTCTCTTATTGTGGATAGGATCTTTTTTTTTTTTTTTGGTCAGTCGTGGGGCCTGAACTCTGGGCCTGGGCGTTGTCCCTCAGCTCTTCAGCTCAAGGCTAGCGCTCTACCATTTGAGCCACGGGGCCACTTCGGCTTTTTCTGCTTATGTAGTGCCGAAGAATTGAACCCAGGGCCTCAAGCATGTGATTCCAGCACTCTGCCACTGAGCTCTGTGGATAGGATCTTAAGCCTCCTCTCCTCTCTGCCAGCCTCAGCCTCCCCCAGGGCTGAGAAGAGGGACTTGTGTTACCACACCCAGATCCTATTGCAGCTTGCATTTGTGAAAAAATTCTGCAAACATACATTGCAGAATGGTCTTACGGTATACTGTTGCTTTTTAAGTTATTACTTAAATACTGTGTAAGTCCAGTATTTAAAAGACAATGTCAATGAAAGGCCAATATCTTTGAAAATTGAATTCACCTTCTAATACCTAAAATATCCAAAGCTTGAAGCAGTTAATTAAATAATAAGTAAGAATAAAAATTGATTGGGATTGTGGAAAGGAGTAAAATTATAGGGACTAAGATTCTTGGTTTCAAGGAGTGTACAATTAATGGCAAATACAATGCATTATGTTATGAATTGACTTTATGAATTTCCATCATAATAGACAAGCCACCTTGGGGAAAAGTAGCTCAAAAGGTATACTAAATCTGCTAGCAAACCTCAGAATGAACTGTGCAACCTTTATGGGGGAGGGGGTTGGGAGGGAAAAACTGGGAGAGACCGAGGGAAGGGGTGACACTGTTCATAAACAAATGTCCTCACCAGGCACCAGTGGCTCACATCTATAACTACCCAGGAGGCTGAGATCTGAGGATCCCGGTTCAAAGCCAGCCTGGGCAGGAAAGTCCGTGAGACTCTTATCTCCAATAAACCAATAGAAAACTGCAAGTGGCACTGTGGCTCAAGTGGTAGAATGCTCACCTTGAGCTGAAGAGCACAGGGACAGCATCCAAGCCCAGAGTTCAAGCCCCAGGACTGACCAAAAAAAAATGAAAAAAAAATGTCCTCATGACTGGCTTATTACTGCAATTCTTCTGTACATCACCTTTACAGTAACAATTTTTTTTAAGCGAGAAGCAAGCTCAGTTTGAAAATTAGGTTTGCACAAAACACAGTAGAGCTGGGCATGTGTGGCTCCCACCCACAATCCTTACCACTCAGGAGACTGAGATCCAAGGATGGCAGTTTAAAGCCATCCTGGGCAGAAATGGCCATGAGACTCATCTCCAATTAGCCACCCCAAAGCCAAAAGTAGAGGCGTGGCTCATGTAGTAGAGCACCAGCCTTTGGTGAAAAAGCCAAGCTGAGTTCAAGTCCCATTACCAACACATACATAGGCATGAAAAAGAAAATGCAGGAGAAATTTTAGTGACATCCTCAGAGCCAACAAATTAGAATTTCTGGCAGACCAAGATCTTTTCCTCTGAGTTTTGTTTAAAAAATATTCAGTTGTCTCGCCCAAAGTAGGAGAACCCGTTTTTATCAGCCTGTTGCTTTGGCAAAGGCAGTACCAAAATGCAGGATGCACACATATTTGTGAACAAATTTATAAGTATGCACATGTGGAACATGCACACTAGATTGAAATTCTTATTGTCTAATTTCCACAGAGAACTGCTTGCCCTCTTCACTGTGTGCGTAAGGGAGTCAAGTAGTGTCTTTGTCCCCAGAGAGCAGGACATCTTCCTGTTAGACAAGCCTGAGGTCTCTATTGCTGCCGGGACTTTGGACAGCAGCTCAGAGGAAAGAGGCCAGGGCCCAACAGGTGGCATGAGGCTCTGAGCTTGGAAAGAAAACAAAACCATCTCTTGTGCTCCCCCAAACTCTCTTTGCTGGACTGCATTGGGCCAGTCCCCACAGCTGAGCCCCTGTCCTGGACTGGGCCTCTTCCTTTTCCTCTAACTGCAAAAGAAAAATCACTTTAACCAAAGGAACTATCAGATCTCCAGCCATGCCAACCTGATTCTCTCTGTGATTAACTCCTTGACACAAACAGCTGTACTGGTTTTCATTCAAAGCTTTCCTCCATGTCTAAACAGCAAGCTGAGGAGTTAAAAAGCACTAGATGCTACTATGGCATGCCTATAATCTTAGCCACACAAGAGGCTGAGATCTGAGGACTGTAGTTCAAAAGCCAGCCTGGGTAGGAAAGTCCATGGGACTCTTTTCTCTAACCAGCAAAAAGCCAGAAGAGCTGTGGCTCAAGTAGTAGAGCACCAATCTTAAGTGAAAAAGCCCAAGGACTGAGTTCAAGCTCTAGTACTGGCGCATGCACATGTGTACACACACACATACACATGAAAAAGCACCTAAATGTAGATTATCCATACACTGCAGTGATATATTTTAAATCAATATCTCAACCTCAAGGAAAAACAGGCTCATGGCATATATAAGCCACTTCAAACATTCTTTTTGGGGTCCGGTCATGGGGCCTGAACTCTGGGCCTGGGCACTGTCCCTCAGCTCTTCAGCTCAAAGCTAGCGCTCAACCACTTGAGCCACAGCGCCACTTCCGGCTTTTTTTTTCTTTTTGCTTATGTGGTGCTAAGGAATCGAACCCAGGGCCTTGAGCATGCAGAGTAAGTGCTCTACCTCTGAGCCAACATTCTTGTTTTAAAGTATCTTTGAGAAAATCCATATAAAACAGCACAGTTAGAATTTCAGTGATAAAATCATCTTTATTAAGGAGATAAATATCAAGATTTCACTATAAAAGTCATTTGTCATTTTCACTGCTTAATAGTATAAGTTCTTTAGTGACAGAATCATTTCTCATTCATATAATGCTTTGTTAATATTGTGTGTGGGTGTGTGTGGGTGTGCATGCATGTGCTGGGACTTAAATTCACAGTCCTCTACTTTTGCTCAGCTCTTCTGCTCTGGGCTGGCACTCTACTGCTTGAGCCATAGCTTCACTTCTGGCTTTTGCTGGCCAGTTGGAGATGAGAGTCCAGAGGGTTCGTCTTGATCCTCTGGTGCTTAGGTAACAGGCCTGAGTCATAGGCCTACCTTCAGGAAAAGCCTTATTTCCCATTTTTTTCTGGCACTTCGTTTTCTTGTCCAAATGTGCCAATGTCCCCAATCGAGTGTCTATGCGATCTGAGTTGTGATCTGGTGCTCCTGAGATCTAATGCGCGTCACTAACTCCTGTCAGTTTCTGTCTGATGCGCTTGCAGCTGCTGGCTATCTCTGGAAGGGGGGCTGCTGTACGCCTTCGTGGGACCCGCGGCTGCCGTTGTCCTGGTAAGCTCTAAGCTCTTGTGCAAAAAGGAAAAGCAACTCTAGTTCAGAGCAGCAACTATGATAAAAGTGTTTGTTGTGTACAGTTTTAAAGTTCAACGAACTATTCATTTAATTTGAATAGCAATTGTATTCCATCTTCTGCTCTAAAATATCCATATTTTAAGTACGGAAAACTAATCATGTTGGGAGTGTAATATTTTCTATATTGAATTCAGAAGAAATCTTGTGTCAATTTTAGTAAATTCCTCCTGGTTAATGTATGAAATGACATCATATATCCCTGCCCCACCTTTATTCCATTCTGCAAGGAGCCGTGTGGTTATTAGGTGTGTGGTTATTAACGAGGAGATACCCACTCACCCCCTCTTCCCCCATGGTGGAGCTCAGGCCGGGCAGCCCCGCCTCTGCCCAGTGCCCCATCCAGTCTCCACGGTGTACAGGCTCTTCAGATGGGAAGCACACACAAATTAGTATCTTTCTTTTCCAACGTATAAAATAATTCCTTAAATTTTAAAATGATGGTCCTATTAATTTGCCATTCTCTCCCTCCCTTTCCCTTCCTGAGTCTCTTCCTCCCTCTGGTCTCTCTCCTTCCCTCCCTTCCATTTGCCCCTTCCTTCCCTTGTACTGTTCCTGGCTTTCCCTTTCTCTCTCTCTCTGCCTCTCTCTCTCTCCCTCAATCTCTCTCTCTCTGTCTCTCTCTCTCTCTTTCTTCTCCCTCTGCCTCCTCCTTCTCTGAAGTAATTAATTATAAGTCTTCCTGCCTATCCAACTTTTGAAGAAATGAGGAAGGAAAAGCTTGGTCTAAATTAACTGCAAAGATTCCTATCATTGTATGATTAGATTTCCAGTTGGAAAATTACCTTCTGGCTTCTTAAACAATTCATTCAAAAACTGGGAAACTAGTGACCTTGTCCTAATAACGGTGATACTTGAGTCTCTTCCTGTAGAGCTTACCAGGGAACAGAAATAATCCATGATTCCCAAGAAAAGAAAACAGACGAGAGAGAAGAGCAAAGGAAAGCAAAGCCATTCCATAAAGCTTTGTCTGCTCTACTGACTATTTACCTAGTCCTGGTGTTCTTTCTCTAACACACTAGATTCCTATAAAAAGAGAAAGAGAGCCAGGGCCAGTGGCTCATGCCTTTAATCCTAGCTACTCAGGAAGCTGAGATATGAGGATTGCGGTTCAAAGCCAGCCCAGGCAGGAAAGTCCATGAGACTCTTACCTCCAATAAGCTACTCAGAAAAAGCAAGCAGGAAGTGGTGCTGTGGCTCATGTGGTAGAGCTCTCACTTTGAGCTGAAGAGCTGAGGGACAGCACCCAGGCCCAGAGTTCAAGCCCCACGACTGACAAAAAAGAGAAAGAGAGAAATATTAAATAGTGGTTTTTTTTCAAGAAATTATAGACAATAGTGACTCATCCGGAATTACAGCTTGAATGGTGACTTGGCAGAAATTATAGGCAGCAACCCCTCCTTATCCTACTTAAGAGAATGCATGGCCTGGCACCATCGCTGCGCCTGAGCATCTGCCCAGGCAGAGGCGGTGGAGGCCCCAGAGCTCTGCCCCATGTCCACGAAGGCCGGACAGGAGCAGTGAGAGAAAGAAGCCACACGCCCTGGGTTATCTCAGCTTCCTGCCAGGGGGGTCAGTCCATGGCAGGCTGAGAGCCGTGGAAACCTCTGGCTCCCCAGAGACTCTCGTCAGGAGCTTCTTATAACTTTTCCCTCTGGTTTCATTCAGCTGTGTTAGCAAAAGAACCTTAAGTGAGAGGAAGAGGTTTAGAATGGAATGCATTAGAGTTCTCCTTGGAGTATATTGGTATTGTATGCATTGGCGCCATGAGAGTCCACTGAAGGACTCCTTCAGCAGGAGACAGGGCATGCCATTCACCTGGCCTGCCAGGGCGCTTCCTTTCCTGCTCCCAGCTTTTGCTATTACAACTCCCATACAAAGGGTAAACGAACCAGTGATTGATTCTGCTCACAACAGACCCACTGTAGCATTCTACAATGTGGTATCGGTTAAATGCCAGGCAATGAAAACCACATACCAGTGGCTCATGCCTGTGATCCTAGCTACTCAGGAGGCTGAGATCTGAGGATTATGTTTCAAAGGCAGCCTGGGCAGGAAAGTCTGTGAGACTCTTATGTCCAAGTAGTTAACTGTAAAAAACAAACAAACAAAAACCCACAAGAAATGGAGCTTTGGCTCAAACATAGAGTTTCAGCCTTGAGCAGAAAAGCAAGCAAGAGTGCCCAGGCCATGAGTTCAAGCCCTAGAACTGTAAAACACATGCACACACACAAATGTGCACACCACATGCCTATGCACTTGGGTACACACATGCACAAGCACACATAGTGCAGCAGACATACACAAACATGCACACAATGCAACATGCACATATACAGACACATTTATACATACACACACAGGTGGTGGAAAGGTAATCTCCCTGATGTTAATTGACACCATGGATATTAACTTGTAGTTGTACGGTAACCAGCTGAAGAGTCACATCGCTGTCACATATTAGCACCTAAAAAGTTCTGGGCACTGTGTCCGTGGCTCTGAGGCTCTGCGGCAGTTTGAAGGGTAACAGCAGGTGCTGGAGCTGGGCGGGGCCTAGCGAGCAACGTGGCACAGAAAGGAAAACTCTGTTTCTGTTTGACAGGTCAACATGGTGATTGGCATCTTGGTATTTAATAAACTTGTTTCCAGAGACGGAATCCTAGATAAGAAGCTCAAACACAGAGCCAGGTAAGCTGCCTGCAGTAGGTGTTGAAGGTTCTTTATCAGTGAATTCCATAACTCTAATCCAGACTGGCCCCCAGTGCTGCTGCCCTAGACACTACTCTGGGCAGGGTGTGGCCAGCCCAGCCCTGCACTGTTCATGAGTGACACAATGAAAATTCAGAATTAATTAAACAAATCATTCGTGAGACCTACGTGCATTTTGTGTGTATTGTCAGTTAAGAAGGCTGAACACTAAAGCTAGTCTTGAAGTCATTGTCTTTAAATTAGTTTTCAGCAAGTGCCCATGGCTCACACCTGTAATCCTAGCAACTCAGGCTGAGATCTGAGGATCGCGGTTCAAAGCCAGCCGGGGCAGGAAAGTCTGTGAAACTCTTATCTCCAATGAACCACCAGAAAACCAGAAGTGGTGCTGTGGCTCAAGTGGTAGAGTGCAAGCCTTGAGCTGAAGAGCTCAGGAACAACGCCCAGGCCCAGAGTTTAAGCCCCATGACCGACAAAAAAAAAAAGTTTTCAAACCGTGCAACTTCAGGTCACAAAGATACGATGTCAGTAAAGCACCATATAATGTATGTGGAGCAGGACTGAGACAAACGATTCTACATAGTGTGAGAAGACTACTTTTTTTTTTTTATTAATTACATATACCAGAGAAAGTCCTTTCTTGACAGTCACTGACAAGACATTGTTCTTGTTACATGCTTTTATTCTTTATGAAATTCTGGCTATCATGTGGATATAACAGTCCTTCCTAATTTTACTTGTTACTCTGTACAGAATTTAGAGAAGCGTCTTCCTTAATTTTGCTGTTACTAAGCAAATACATAGACAGCAGTACTTTAAATCACTTCACCATGAAAATGGCACAAGCCACCTGACCTATGGGATTGTGGCCCTTTAGTGCCACTAATTAATGATAGGAATCAAAATAATAATATTTATAAAAACACAAAATTGCATGATCCACCAGATATTAATGCCTTTGATTTTCCCCATGTCTTTTCCTCAAAAAAGCTTTGTCCTTTCTCTTAAACTGCATCTTCAGTCAACACTTACCCCTGTAATTCATCTCTTTATGTAATTATTATATTTAATTATCATACTAGTTGATCACATAGCTGAGAATTTTAAATCCTTTTGTTGTTAAGTCTTTATTCAGGGCAAGATAACCTAGGCATCTCTTTGTCTAGTAAAAGACTAAATTGAACAACTTTTGATATAAAAATTAAGGATTATTTCTATCAAACAGTAGAGCTGTACAGTTCCTGGACATCCTTTCTTTCAGAGGGACAGTCATGTTTGCAGTCTAACTCCATGTTTGCCACAGCTTAGTTCCCTGGCACCCTCACATAGCAGACCTGAACCTTGAGTGACTACAGCTAGCTGAGCAGTGAGGCAGAGGCTGGCTGCATCACCGTTGCTAGGCAACGCTATAGCTGGAAGGGGTTTGCCATGAGCTGTGTGCTCACAACCGCTCCTGTCAGCTGCATAGACATTTGGGATCCAGTATCCAATGTCTGACACCCAGAACTTCTGTAAGGTCATAGGTTGGAGAGCAAATCCTCCCAGCTACTGACATCACATTGACGGGGCAGGAGTGTAGCAGGCATGGGAGCAACCGGCTCTGCAACCAGTGGGGTAAACTTCCTGTATATAGCAGACAGGACCACACTGCAGTGTCCCCAGAGCATGCTCAGTACAGGGCTGAGGGCTTAGCAGCTGTGGAGTGTGTTGGAGCGGGTTGCTCGGCCAGTTCCCCCTCAGCCTTAGACTCGTAATGAGTGTGGCACGTGAAGGGTGGATTGCTGCGCTTGCCAGCAGTGTCTGTTCCACACAGGGAGGCCACGGTCGGCAGTCCAGGCTCCAGGTCCCAGACTGGGCAAGAGTGGCAGCCCAACCATGCAGCCCCTTCGCTAGAAGCAGGGCTGGGGCCTCAGTTTGTGGACAGCCCAGGCCAAAGCTAAGCAAGACCCCCTCTCACCAACAGGTAGTCACGACAGCATACACCTGGGATCTTAGCTGGGAGGGAGTGGAAGTAGCCAGACTGCATTGCAAGGCTGGCCCCACCTGCTAAAGCACAAGAGGGCTGGAGGCATGGCTCCAGTGGTGGAGGACCTGCCTCACCAGTACAAGCTATAAACTCAAGCCAGGAGGCCTCATGACAAAACCCAGGCTCTCTGCAAGCACAGGGCCCAGGCAGTGAGGGGCAGGGAAGAAGAGCGAGCACCGGGGGACCACAGCACCCAGGCCGCAGGAGTGCCTGAATCTCCTCTCGCTTAGATGCTCCTAGGCAGTTCACGCAGCTCTTTGTAAGCAAGCAGAAGCACAGATGCATGCCATCACTGTCCTACTGCAGAATCTGTCCACCTCCATCCACTGAAGGCAATTAGAATTTTTTAAACTTGTCATTCTAAAAATATTCCTAGAAGTCCTCTAGAGTTCACTGGGAAAACCAAGTGTGCCCTGGCTCCAAGCCCCAGAGTGGACATGCTGCCAACGCACCGGTGAAGGCAGAGTGTGGCCGTCACAGTGCTGGTAGCCAGGTCAGGAAGACTAGGCTCTACAAAGCACCTGTAAATGTACAGTATTAGTATCCATAAATAAATATTGAACTGTTACCCATTTCAAAGTGTGATTGAAGAGCAAATTGTAAGAAGCTCAAAATGTTTGAAGCTAATTAAACATTTATTAAGAAGGCTTCAATGCTTACTAATATAGCTAGACAAGTTTTCTAATACCAAAACAATATTAGATTTTTTCCTAATGCATTATGAAGGGGGGATTTATTGAAAATAACAATGTAACAGAAAATTGGCAACTGGAAGAAATTAAAGGAAACAAAATATGCTGCATTATTATTACTAGTTTTCTTTTCTTTTTTTTTTTGTTAGTGCTGAGATCAAACTCGGAGCCTCAAGTTCTCACTGGTCTTTTTCAAAAGCGCAGTAGCACTAGCACTTGAGCCATGCCTCCCGTTCTGGCTCCTGGCTGTTTAACTGCAGGCCTCAGAACTCTTCTGGCTTAAAATTGCAGGTGCAAGTCCCCAGGGTCTGGCTACAATCTTTTTTTTTTTTCTCTCCTGGTCCTGGGGCTTGAACTCAAGGCCTGGGTGCTGTCGCTGAGCAGTTTTACTCAGGTTTGGTGCTCTAACACTTGAGCCACAGCTCTACTTCCAGCTTTTTTGTGGTTAATTGGAGATAAAGGTCTCATGGGCTTTCATGTCCTGCTGGCTTCAAACTGTCCTCAGATCTCAGCCTCCTGAATAACTGGGATTACAGGCATGAGCTCCTGGCACCAGGCCTGGCTGCCATTTTATTTCAGAGCCCAGAGGCAAAATATCCTTACGTTGAAAACTCACTACATTCATGTTCAGCCACACACATCAAACGTCCCATCTTCTGGGCTGAGGAACACAGTGACAGTGGAGATATACCTTTTTAATACTAAGTTGATCACATTTGAGAACAAAGGAAATTAAATGCACAGTTGGAGCTTGGTGCTTATTTCTGCTTGATCCTTAGACTCCTCCAGGCAGCTCTGAGAAGTGCAGGGCTTGGGTGCCTTGCCTCGGCCAACGGGGATGGGACCAGGTGGGCAACTGTCTGCAGCCCCTGGGTGCTAGTCTAGGTTCCTCTGGGAGAAGGAATAGGCATGCCCCTTGGGCCATGTGCACACAGAGCTGCACAGACATGTTACTGGACATGTTTGGGCGCATGTAGCATTGTGTATACCCTGGACTAGGTCCCCTTCCAGCAACTCAAGCTTCTTATTATGAGATCAGCTGTCAGTCCCATACTCTTCAGATGTATTACTTCACTAAAAACAATTCACAAACATTTAAAAGAAACCAGTCATTCCAAATTTTAACTTTTTCTGTCCTGTCTGTACTTAAGTAGGTAGATATAGACTAGATGGTATAGATGATATACAGATTACAAAGATGATAGAGATAGAGGTGAAGTATAAAGATGAGAGATATAGACATACCAAGGCAGCTAACTCCACTATAAAAGACTTAAAATCCTCAGGGTAAAGACTGCATGAAAGTGAACCAGAGAAATACATCACAGTGAATTATTTATTTGATTTATGTAATTTCTTTTTGATTTTCCTAATAGGTTTATATTCCAATAAACACATCATTTTTCAAGGGATTCCTCCCCTCAAGCAAACACACACCAAGTGTTTCTGTGTAGCATGATTTTGCTTCTAAGCTGTAGTGACTGACATCAAAATTGTGTGGATATGAATTTACATACAAACATCAAGCTCAGAAGAGATTATTCAAATGCTATAAGGTTAAAGGCTATAACACATGTTCCGCAAGAATATTTTGAACTTAATCAGTGTGTTAAGTGTACTCTTGAAAACAGAAAATTCTCGCCTTTCATATTATCACCATATCACCAAGTTACATTTGTCTCTATATGCAGATCATCCTAAAATATGTATAGCAATTGATGCTAAAAGAAATATGAATCTGTCAAGATAAAAATCTGCATCTTCCACAATTGAAATTGCCCTAGACATGATAGTGAGCCAGCCAGCCAGCCAGCCAATAGGATATAGATGAGAGAGACGCTAGACACTAGGCATAGATAACTGTATATATAATGTATACTTACCAGGATGGACTTCTACAGTCAATGTCTTTTGGAAGATTTTGACTGCCATGGCAAGTCCTCCACATGTAATGGCACAGGTGTGAATGAAGGGCTTTCTCTGCAATCTACACATGCCTTGATTGTGGTTAGCTCAGTGTATTGCATAATTTTCATCTACAGACATAGGATCATTTATGATGTAAGTGATAGAAAATTGCCTCACACACAATAAATGTCCAGATCAGTAAGAGGTGAACATTGATGCGTCTTGAAAACCATCTAGAACATTCATCTCTGATGATAGATTTTGTGCATGAAGTCATATTGAAAAGCTAACTTGTAGCGGCAAGTTTTTCCGGTCACCATTCAATACTTTGTTCTTTCTGTGGGTGTTGTGTTTGCTTGCAGTCAGATGAGTGAGCCTCACAGCGGTTTGACGCTCAGGTGCGCCAAGTGTGGAGTCGTTTCGACAACAGCCCTGTCGGCCACCACCGCCAGCAACGCCATGTCAGTCTCTCGTTCACATCTTCTTGTTGCAAATCTTTACAGTGCATGTGAGAAAATGCTGCTATGATGATTTTAAAAAGCATTGCATTTGCTAATGTTTAAAGATTTACCCCTGCCTGTGGCCTGTGTAACTTTTGTGGGATAGTCCATAAAAGCAAGAACAGGTGAAGTGCGGGCTTGTTATCTGGGTGCCGGTTTCCAAGGAAGTAGTCTTGGAACCGCTTCCCAGAATGCTTTGTTAGAGAGGAGAGTAGGTGGTGGCCTGGGCGGTGGGGGCATTTGTGTGACCGGGGGGCTCGCGTCTCTCCGCAGGGCCTCGCTGTGGAGCTCCTGCGTGGTGCTGCCCCTGCTAGCTCTGACCTGGATGTCTGCCGTTCTGGCCATGACAGACAAGCGCTCCATCCTGTTTCAGATTCTCTTTGCTGTGTTTGATTCTTTGCAAGGCTTTGTTATAGTCATGGTGCACTGCATTCTTCGGAGAGAGGTAAGAACTCTTTTTATTTCATTTCTTATTAAAATAGTTGAACAAAGGGGTTCCGACCCCACGCATGAGCTCGTGAGTACAGTGTGTTCTGGTCCAGATCCTCCTTCCATTCTCCTCCCAGGCCCCAGCCCTTTCACCACACATCTCCCCTCACTCCATCTGTTGGATCCCCGTAAGTGACAGAACACCTTAGAGAAGTGAGCGATGGTTGAAGAGTATATCTTTGCTAGTTAGCAGAAACTCTTAAAAGTTTATTCTTCTGGTCTTTATAATTTAATCTTATGGTCTGTAAGATATTGATCTTCGGTCTTTAATATTTTGATAATATTTTTAATATTTTGATCTTCCTTGCTTTCTCCACTAACAATTGCTCAACACTGAAAATGGAAGCGAAGCTATAAGGCTTACGGTGGGGGTGGGGGAATCTCTTGGACTCTGAGAAATGACAGACTGAGCTCACCAAGTTTGTGTAAGGAAAACTATAGCCAGAGTCCCAAGAGTCAGGGAGAGTAGACCAAGAGAAGCTATGTGGATTGACTGAGAAGACACAGTACACATTTTCAAAGCACTAGCCACAAACAGGGCACAATACTTCTTACCTCTTCCTTGACCTAGATCTCCATAAATTGTATATACCCATTCCTCCTGTCAACTAACTTTATTTTAGATAGAAAAGGTTGAAGATTAATAAATACTTGGTTCCTATAATAAATGCTATACATACATAATTATCTACAATTAATATGATAAAGGTTAACTCTTTTAGGTCAGTACTAAGGCTTGACCTCATGGACTAGACGCTGTTCCTTACCTTTTTCACCTAAGGCTGATGTTCTATCTCTTGAGTCACACCTCCACTTCCAGCTTTTTGCTCATTAATTGGAGATAAGAGTCTCAGTGATCTTTTGCCTGGCCTGGCTTTGAACCGCCACCCTCAGACCTCAGCCTCCTGAGCTGGGATTACAGTTGTGAGCCACCAGCACTTGGCTTAAAATGATTTTTGTTGAAGTGTTACGCTCGTCAAACATGAAAATAAAAGGTATCTGTTGGGCACGGTGGGCACTGCCGTCCCCAGCGTTCCTCAGCTGGTGTTGAGGTTCGCTGTTGGTGATAGGATGCCACAAGCATGCCTCGCAGGAGAGGCTGGCCCCCTCTCACGGGGCTGGACAGAATGCTGGCAAACTGCAAACTTAGGTTGTTTGGGGATAAAACACTTACTTTCCAATTGCTGTGAAAATTGTTGTGAATGCTCCAAGCTCTGATGCACTGTTTACAAGGTTTATGAGTCATTTCGGCATTTACTCTGGGGACAAGTGCTGCCTGAAATACAGGCCAACACAGTGCCACACCAGTGATGTTAGGAGAATGGTCTCCTCTGTCATTTTGTGTTATCTAACTTGTTTGAGAACTGTATTATGATGCGAGCATCGCCAAGAGTAGCTTGAGCGTGTGAGCCCATGCCTCCCAGTGCCTCATTGGCTGGATGGGAGAAGCTTCCCACACTGTGTCAGGAAGGTCAAGACACCAACACTAGACCTACAGGTGTATTCTGAGATGGAGCTATTATGAAAACCAAGCAAAATACATGTAACAACTCCATCTTTTAGTGGTGGGAGAAGTTCACCCTTTATAAAAACCTAAAGTATGAACCGGATGTCAGTGGTTCACATCTGTAATCCTAGCCACTCAGGAGGCTGAGCTCTGAGGATCGAGGTTTGAAGCCAGCCCAGGTAGAAAACTAAGAGATTCTTATCTCCAATTAACCAACAAATCCCTCAGCTCCCCCCCACCCCACAAATAACAGAAGTGAAGATGTGGCTCAACAGCTAAAGTGCCAGCCTTGAGGATAAAGGCTAAGGATAGTGCCCAAGTCCTGAGGTCAAGCCCTACTACCAGGGCCAACATGCGCACGGCTACACACATGCACACATCGAAAGTTTACAACTGCTAAGCCTGACTGTTCCTTCCTCACAAACCTCTGCCAAGAACATCAGCATTAAAATCTTCCAAGTGTCACATTAAAAGATAAAAGAAATTTGAGCGATAACAGGTTATAGTCTTTTCCGACTGCAACAAAATTCTGCATTAATATTCCCAATACCATGAATTATTCTAAATGAACAGAGCTTTTCTTTCAGATACCCCAGACATAAATCCTGGCCCGTGTTTCTCTCTTCTTTGTTCCTCCTTTTTGTTTTGTGCTGATACAGAGGTTTAAACTCAGGAATGTGTGCTTTTGCTTGGCTTTTGGCTCATGAGGTTTCTACCACTTGAGCCACAGCTCCACTTCCAATGTGAGGCTTTTCTGATTGTCTCTTGAGGATGAACTGATGCAGGGTGGGCTTAAAGGGTGTTACCTGGGTGCTGACGGGCCCTAGGGTGTCACCTGGGTGTTCACGGCAGCCCTCAGGTGTCATGTGGGTGCTGGGGCCCTCGGTGACACGTGGATGCTGACAGCAGCCCCTGGACCCCGAGCACTGGGCCAGGAGTCTCCACAACAGCAGCAGCGGGAGCCCACGTCAAGCCCAACAGGTGAAGCAACAGTTCAATCTACTCCGAAGTCCCCCAAGGCTCTAAGAGTGCAGGCTGACATCTGATGGCCCCCGCCACGTGATACCTTCCTGTGGACAGTCCTGTGCGGTTCACCCCAGAATCACAGAAGTACCGGAAGCTCTTACCGCATTAGAAATGGGCACTTATATGCTTATATGATATATATTTCCTCCCTCCCTTCTTTCCTCCCTGTGCCAGTACTGGGGCTTGAGCTTAGGGCCTGTTCTCTGCCTTGGCTTTTTTTTCTGAATGCTGGTGCTCAACCACTTAAGCCACTTTGCTGGTGAATCTGAGAAAAGAATCTCACTTGTTTTTCCATGCAGGCTGCCTTCCAACCTTGATCCTCAGATCTCCTGAGTTGCTAGGAGTTATACATTTTCATTTCTATGTTTATTATCATTTTATTTTTGAATTAGCCTATATTTATAGCATAGCAGTTTTCTTTAGACATTTCCATACGTGAAGCCAGTCCACTTTGAACAAATTTACCTGCATTTTTTAAACCACTAGCCTAGTTTTTCCCCCCTCAGTCATAAATATTTCAGTGTGAATTTAAAAAGGTTTTCCCATCTGCTTGTGTAACCTTTCTGTGGTGGGAGTTGTGGCATAGCCTGGCAGTCACAGAACAGAAAGATCGTAATTGTGGTATTTGGAAGTGGTGTGTGGAGCAGAATGTATTCTTAATATGCCTTTTTTAATGAGTTCAGTCTTTAAATAAAAATAATTTCTAATTAAGAAAGGGAGAGAATGATCACACTGACACTGCCAACTCAATTATATTCTCATGATTTAAAAAATTGCATAGTTGCATAACTATTTGTTTTGATCTCCAGACCTGGTACTTAATATTTAAATTTCACAAAATTTGTGTTTTTGAAAAATAGTTCCTTCTTCTGGAACATTTTTTTTCTGTTGGCCGGCTATATTAATAATTGTGACACAAAGGGGAAAACCAAGCTTATGAAAAAACATTTGATTCATCATTCACACTCTCTTAGAGTGGTGAGCAACATAAGCTCTAGGACTTCAAGCGTCCATGTTTCCTGCCTTTATCCATTATTGTGGATTAGACTTCATTTGGATGAAGCGGATAGTAAGACACAGTATTTACTCTTCTCCTCACCACTGTGGAAATGCCACTATGCAGAGTTTTTTATGAAAGCTTAGAAAGCTCCCGTTGCCAGGAAACCACCTTCCCGAGGCTGGCACGGTGTTCACACTCAGTCCCTGGCTGTGTGTGACTCAGACACAGCCTTACAGCTTGATGTGCAAGGGAGGAGTAAGCCTGTCATTCCACCTGAGCCGGCCCAGGACTCCTGATGGAGGGAGGGGAGGGACTGGATCACTGACTGTGTCTTGTGCAGTTGGTTGTCTTGCATACCAGGCCGGCCCTCTCTGCTCTCTCCTGAACAGCTCATCTCCTCTTCACACAGACCTATGAAGCCATTTTACTGCTTCCTCCCTCCCTCCCTCAGCCTCCTTCCCTCCTCTGCCTCCCTCCCTCTTTCTGCTTGCCTCCCCTGCCTTCCTCCCTCCCTTCTTCCCTCTGCTTACCTCCCTCCCTTCCTCCTTCCCTCCCTCCCTCTACCTGCCTCCCCTCCCTTCCTCTGCCTGTTTCCCTTCCCTCCTTCCCTCTGCCTGCCTCCTCCCTCCCTCCCTCCACAGGGGGGAGAGGGGGTTCTATGTGCTGCAGTTACTATCACAAAGCATGCTAGGAGGAGCCCAGGCTGCACTTTCACACCTGTGTTCCTAGCTTTCCAGGGTGCTGAGACAGGAGGGTGGGGGTTTGAAGTCAGCCAGAGAAGGGAAGTTCTTACCTCCAGTTAACCCATGAAAAGCCAGCATGGAGCTGTGGTTCAAGTGGTAGAGCACCTGCCCTGGGAGAAAAAGCTGATTGCCCAGGCTCTGAGTTCAATCAAGCTCCAAGTACCAGCCCTCCCCCAAGACAGGAGAGAGGAGAGGGCAGAACTCCTGAAGAGGCAGAGTCACTGAGCCCCTGCAGGCTGGCCAGGCTCCTTCCACCCCTGCGGGCTCTGGACCGGGCCGGCCTCTAGTGAGTGCCCGGAGCTTGGTGCTCCCATGGTGCTTCCTGTTGTGACTTCTCGAGGGTGCAGGGAGGGGTGGAGGGCGCGGGGACAAGTGGCACATGAAAGAAACCTGGGCACAGCCTGTCTCAGGCATGCACGGATCCTCCCCCCACGCATGCACACACCCTAGCTCACAGGGAGGAGGGGTGGGAGATGCAAAGGGGGTTGGGGGGAAGGGCAAGGGGGGTGCTGGGAGGCATCTGGAAAGGCACTCCAGACCGTGAGCACATGCACAGTGCGCCGGCACCAGCAGAGAATCTCAAGTCACATTGCAGTTGTGTCAGGAGATCCTGGGCTTTTGGTTGACTTGCACTTCATTCTCCAGTAGTTCAGCAGAGCTGAGCCAGTGCTCAGGAGTAACCCACCCCAGAGGCTTGTGCACATGCACACACGCACACCCACCCAGGCCTGAGAGCAGAACCACCCCAGAGGCTCACACACCTCCATCTGCACCTGCACCCACGCCTGCATCCACACCTCCATCCATCCACACCCACACCTCCATCCATCCACACCTCCATCCATCCATACTCACACCTCCAACCACACCCACACCTCCATCCATCCACACCCACACCTCCATCCACACCCACACCTCCATCCACACCCACACCTCCATCCATCCACACCTCCATCCATCCACACCCACACCCACACCTCCATCCATCCACACCTCCATCCATCCACACCCACACCTCCAGCCATCCACACCTCCATCCATCCATACTCACACCTCCAACCACACCCACACCTCCATCCATCCACACCTCCATCCATCCACACCCACACCTCCAGCCATCCACACCTCCATCCATCTACACTTCCATTCACATCCACATCTCCATTCATCCACACCTCCATGTAGTCACACTTCCATCCATCCACACCCACACCTCCATCCACACCTCCATTTACCCATCTGAGGCATGATTTATGGCTTTTCAGATTTTGAGCAGTCCCCACCCCAAGGCAGCCAGAACAACTTTGGTAGTACATGGCAAGTGATTTTTCAAGAGACACCCGCATAACTTCTTGTTGTCACCATGATTCATTCTGAAAGTGTCTGTTTTCACTTTTTTTTTTTTTTTTGGTGGTCATGGGGCTTGAACTCTGGGCTTGGGCGCTGTCCTTGCGCTCTTCAGCTCAAGGCGAGCACTCTATCGCTTGAGCCACAACACCACTTCCTTTCACTATTTTCTCTTTCACAACCTGCATCCAATTTCCTTAGATACTCAAGGCAGATAGTTCTATATCAGTTTCCTGATACCTCTCTCAGAAACTTAGACATTTTCTGTGCCATAAATAATACTAACCATTAATTGCTCTTACCTAGCTTATTTAAAAATTGTATTTACAGTCTTAAATGAGTTCTTTAAAACATTAATTTCACAGCGATTCAGTTACAATGCTTATATCTACTATAGTCTCCATAAAATCAAAGACTGTCACTACCCAGTACTGTATAAACAATTTTTACTTGCTAGACAATTCATGATTCAATAAATCAATAGAAGGCATGACATTGCTCAACATGCATCAAACTCATAAATTCTCATGTTGAATTGAAACCCCTTTGTACAACTACTTAAGAGATAATGGACATTATTAGTAGAAAAGAAAAGAAAAGCAAATTGAATTAATTATCAAGGTACTTCCAAGTAAGGAGACTTTTTCCAGGTGTGGCCTTGCCTTTTGGTGGATGTAGGCCTGTGTGTGTGAACTCTAGTCTGCATGTTTCCCCTCACGGGGTTGAGTACATAGTTAAGGCCAGTTCGTCTAGGTAACCTCTGCATCTTTAATATGTATTTAAATGTAAAAGTAGTATTTGTAATAAAATCCCTCCCACGAATCTTTCTGACGGAGAGTTATCAATGGCACTAAAAGTGTTACAGAACCTAAGACTTCATTTGTGGCATTTGTAATATCCTTAGACTGACCCGACTTCACTGGGGGATGTTGATGCTTTCTGCTTTATATTTCTTCTGGCAGCTCTGACTCATAGAGCTGACAACACTCTCCAGAGTAGAAAGGCCTTAACCCATCATTATATTTGGGAATTTAGTAGTTGAGCATATTAAATGTGTGTATATGCATGTGCTTGGGTGTGTAGGCACGTGTGCTTGTGTATGTGTGATGAGTGTAGATGTGCATGTGTGTTTGTGTGTATAGATATGTGTACCATGTATTGTATGTGTTTTCTAAAAGAGATTTCCTATATGTTTCTTTCAAGCCACTAGATAGTGATTTTTAAAGAGAAACTTAGGTACAAATTGCCTTTCTATATTTCATTTTTGGTCAAAATACCCTTTTACAAGTTGGCTCTGAAGGTGTGGAAATGGAATATGGTTAGTGAGGGGCAGTTAAATTTATATTTAATATTTTCACAATGTTTCTTATTTTATATAAATGCTGATACTTGAAAATCAATTAGAAGGAAATCCCCATGTGGCAATCTCTCTGAGGCAATGTTTCCATCATGTTTTCTCTTTTGTAAATTATGCTTCCTTGACAGTTGCCCTAGGGTACAAGCAGGAAATTAACATTCACCTGCTTTTCTGACATTGGCTCTTGGTGTGTTTTTCCTTCTAAAAGTGTCATTTCTTAGTGATTTCTCCAGTTCCAATTTCTGCATCACAGAAGAAGTGGCACTCTGGCACATAGAAGACTCATCATCAATTTTCTGTTATTAATGTGTCCCTTTCTGGGCAGTGACCCCTTAATTGAGAAAGGTTCAGATTGAAAGAACCCTTCTCCTCAGCCGTCTTCCCCAACATATCCTGCTCCTCAGGAAACATGGACAGATGCCTGCCTGGCCGCTATGCGGTCTACTGATGCACTTGAAGGAAATGAGAAACGGCCTTGCCGGGTTCTAGCAGGCAACTCCTCCTCCTCCTTCTCGGAGGAAATCCAAAATTGAGAAATGCTAGACTAGCCAGGCACTGGTGGCTCATGCCTGTAATCCTAGCTACCCTGGAGGCTGAGATCTGAGACGTCAGGGCTGGAGTCAGCTTGGGCAGAAAAGAGACCCTTACCCCCACTAACTAGCAAATCCCACGTATGGAGGTGTGGCTCGGGTAGCACAGCACCAGCCTTGAGACAAAAAGCCAAGCAAGAGAGCCAGGCCCGAGAGAGAGCCAAGCACGAGAACAGGCAGAGGCACGTGGGTACACGCACGCGCATGCACACACACACACACATACACACACACACTCCCGTCCCAGTCCCAGTCCCACAGCTGTGATGGCTGAGCCGCCAGGCTGGAGTGGAGGGTGCTGATGCATGGCACGTCACAGAATGGCTGGCCTGCATGCATGACATGAGGCACCTTGAGTGTCGATTGTTCTTCCCAAATCTGCTGCTGTCTCTGAAATGAGATGCAAATACGCATGTTATGCACCTCCCATGAGCAAATGCTAACAAGAGGTCCCATTCCTGCACTGCCCCAAAGTAAAAATCCCTGGTGCCTGCAAGTTGCTCCAGCAAGTAGGGGAAATACAGTGTCAGCTGTACTTAACTTCAATCCAGTCAGATAAATTGCAGTAGATGAAGAAGGCAGAGTGGACTCATGAAATCAGAAAAGCAGCATGACAGGAAGTAAAATGAGGTGGATATTGATTTTGCTGAGCAGAGCTTGCAAAGGTGAGGATATATACCAGCTGAGGAGTCAGATGAGCTGCAGGGACAGGTGGATGTACAGCAGATGAACTGCACAGACAGGTGGACATACAGCAGATGAGCCACAGGGACACAGATGGACAAACATACAAATGCCATGGCCCTGGCCTCCTTTCCCATCTTAATCATCAGTGCTATTTGCTCTCCAGTAATTCATATTTCCTGAGCTTTTTTGAAATGAAGGAATTAACAGTGTTCTCAGAACTTAAGATTCTGATTATTAATGGACATTTGACTGCTTTAAGTGGCTTTTTTTTTCTTCCAAGATAATCAACCACAAGTAGAGAAGTTTGGTTTTATGGTGTCCTGGTTTCAGATCAGGGCACTTAAAGGGGGATGGGAAGTAGACTCAACAAAGGTCTTTTATAAGAGACAAAAGGAAAGAGTCAGTTCTAGTCAACTAGTTAAGTAATCTCATTCTTCACGATGCTTAAAGCTGTTCCAAATATTAAACCCTCCTGGAAAGATGCATCATGCTTGAGAAAGTGAGCACAGGTCTGAGTAGAAATTGTCAGGAGTCCTGAGCCTTCTGATGAGTTTCCCTGCACAACATCCAGGCACACTGGGGTCGTGGTGTGAATTGGCTTCTTAGAACAAAAGTGGCCACTCGCTCGCAGCCAGGCCAGCGCCACCAAGCTCGTCATTATCAAGAAAGAAAATTCACAGTTCCCTTCCCTCCCTGCAGGTCCAGGATGCTTTCAGATGCCGGTTGAGAAACTGCCAGGACCCAATCAACGCGGATTCTTCAAGTTCTTTCCCTAATGGGCATGCTCAAATCATGGTGAGCTTTTATTTTCCCTCGGATTGTTTATTTCTCCATAGAATTTCTCCATAGAATTTTTTTTAATCCTTTTGTTAGAAACAGCATTAAAGTCTCACACTGGATGGGGGGAGATGGAGGGAGGGGGAAGATGGATGGGAGGGGTGACCTTGTAGCCACATTGTAGTCATCAATCAGTTAACATACAGAATTGAAACCCCTTTGGACAGATCCTTCACAGTAATAAAAATAAAAATACTCAAGATAAAATACAATTGTGCGATGAGTGGCTTCAGCTTCAGTCCCTGACTAGACTCAGTCCTGGGCACCAGCAAAGTGTCCTGTGCGGATTCCGGGTTGGGTGTCAGTACCTCCCACGGGAAGCTCCTCACCCTGGCCCAGAACCGGGGACGGCCGTTCGCACTCGCACCGCCTCCACGCAGTGGTCCTCAGCTTGGCTGCACATGGACTATGAGAGGAGTCGTACGCTGGACCTGTTAGAGAGTCTCTTTAAGCATAAACAAGACACAAGGGCTCCTCTGTGTGAGAGCTGGGTGCTTGCTGTGCAGCCCTCAGCAACGCGGGGTGATGTGACGTGGAGGCACATGGGGAATTCTGGGTGAGACACAGTTTAAATGAAGTGGAGGAGAGCAGGTGTGCTCAAGACTACTTGTGGACAAGTGGAGCAGGAGCAGTGACTCCCACTGAGCTTGGCTCTGGGCGGGAGGGGAGGGAGAGGGTAGAGGAAAATGATGAAGGTCACTGTGAGCTCTGACCTCGGAGAGACCCCCACACCCCATACCAAGCCCTGAAGGCTGAAAAGAACCTCATAGGATATTTGGCTGATTCGTAATATTTTGGTTTACTAAGCATAAAAATATCAAAATGACATAATAGTGACGGGTCAAGAGAGGGAAAAGTCAATTCTATACAAAACCGAAACACATAACTGTAAAAAAAAAATCTCTGATTTAAAATACTCATGGAAAGCCACATGTGTGGAAGACTTCTGCTTTCATTTCTAAGTCTGAAATGTTTGTCTTATTCCAGGGGAAAGCAACTGCTAGGAAGTCACAAGGGTTTAACAGCTGTGCTGCTACAAGACAGTCCGCTAGAAATGACGTATCCAAACCCAGCGCTCAAAAAGAAAAAAAAAAAAAAAAGATAACACACATTCCAATCACCTGTTGGGTTTAGGCAATTCTTTTAAAACTCAGTCCTTTTCTCTGTGGTAGTTTCTAGATAGTGATAGCTGTTGCTTTGACATATTAAAATTGTTTGCCATGTTTCCGTGGACTGTGTTCAACACTGTGTCTCCAGGGAATAAACCTGATTGTTCCTTGAAAGACCTTCTTAGTACAAAACGGTAAACCAGTCCAGCTAGTCAGATATTTGGAGACCAGGTTTAATTAGTCAAAGGCATCTCACATCTTCATTAAATGATGATTCCATGCTTTGTCATTGTTTTTGTTACAGACAGACTTTGAAAAGGACGTTGACATCGCTTGTCGGTCAGGTAAGAACATTTACAACTTGAAAACATAATTGTTACGCATGTGAAATCATTTCAGTGGGTTTGAGTTTTGAAGAAAATACCATGGTTTATGGATCACACATTCTCCCGTGTGAATACATGTAGCCCTTCAACGGGAGCGCTACGGTGGTGGGAATGCTTACAGAGGAGGAGGCAGCAAGGAGGAGGAAGGGGTCATGAGGACGGACACATGGGCCTGCACACTCGGCTTCTGACTGCCATGCAGTGGTTGCTGAGTCCAAGCCCAGGCCGCTCAGCCCCTCTGACCACAGTTCCCTTCTGTGTGGGGAGGACTCGTGGTGGAGAGGGCTGGGTGTGCGTGCATGTATGTGCTTCTGTGTGTTTGCATGTCTGTGTGTGTGTAGCAGAGGAAGAGATGGAAGAAACCATGCAGCACACCCCTGCTTATGGTGTTAAGAGACCCCTGACCTCACAGTGGACCTCCAGCTGCTGAGATCCCTCTTGGAGCAGTCCCACAGCCGCCGCCTCCTTGTGGGCCTCCAAACCAGAGCTTGCCTTCCCCACACAGAACCAGTCCAGGTTCTTTGTCCCCCTCCCCCCCCCACTTCCTTATGGGCAGCGTGCCCACAGCCACTCCAGCTGGCCAAGAGTTAAAACTACGCCGCCCACACGTGTACCTCATTACCAGCAGCCACCACCACCAGCTCAGGGTTCCTAGCCCGTGTTTGTCAACTCACTATCCATGCCCACGAGGAGTTGTCTGTAGGTCCCCAATCTAAGATCGTCTAAAAGTGAGGCTTTGTGCATGTTTTCTTTTATGTTTGTCTCATTGGTCGTTACCCACTTGGCTTTAGGTCGGTATGAAGAATCTGTTGTCATGTTTGCCCTCATCACAGCACGTGGGAGACCCATCTTATGTTCTTATCCCTGGATTCAACCAGAACACTCCTTAGAGTGCGTTATACAAAGTCATAAACAATTAAGATTTGAGGACAGGTACCGGGAATTCCCCCTTTCTGACTGAAAAATACAACAAAATATAGCCAGCCCCCATCTCATTAGGGCTTGGCTGCTCCTCTCTGCGTTTCGTCATTGAAAGGATAACACAATGTTTTCCCTAGCTCCACTTCCTTGTAATTTTTTCTCAGAATTCATCAGATCTGGAGTCAGTTCACACGTGTGGTTTAGTTTAGGATTGGAATCATTGGGGTGCAATGGTTTGAGCTATTTGGAGTGACCAGGTGTGGCTCAGGCCCCCCTTCCACCCCCAGTCTTCCCCAGACCCCTGGGCAGGGCAGCGGCAGAGCACAGAGGGCTCAATGTTTGCTTAACAGCCGTTCTCATCAAACTAGTGGTTGTCCTGTGCAGTCCCCAGATCATCTGTGGTGCGGACGCTCAGAATGTGTAAGAAATACAGGATTTGAAGTCCTATCCCAGGCTTGCTAGGTCAGCCTGGGGCTGGGATGCAGCCACTCTATAACGTAGTTCCGGTCATTCTAATTTGAACGTCTTCTATAGGCGGCCATCTCTGCCCTCCATGCTCTCCATCTTCTCCCTCTCCCCAAACTGCACTGGGCTCTGGCTTCAGCCTACCTCACAGAGCCCACTACCACTGCGTTAGTAGAAAAGAGTTTCCCTCGTAGTTTTGGATCAATGCCCTTTGTAGCTGAGCTCAGCAGCAGCTTTTTACTTTTCTTTTTTGAGATTTTCAAGAGATATCTATCCATGTTGAAATATGTTAAAAGTGAAAGTCTCAATTTATAGATGCTGAGCAATATTTTGTTGAAATTTGCTTCTGCAAATGCTGGAGTATACAAGTCATGGTGCTAAATATTCAGACGCCTTGGTTGCGTCCAGTGTTTAGTTGTGTTTTGCTCTTCACAACTTGATTAATTTCTCTTAAAAGTTCTACTTCAAGCTGGGCCAGTGGCTCACGCCTTTAATCCTAGCTACTCAGGAGGCTGAGATCTGAGGATCACAGTTCAAAGCCAGCCCGGACAAGAAAGTCAGTGAAACTCTTATCTCCAATAAACCACCAGAAAACCAGAAGTGGCACTATGGCTCAAGTGGTAGAGCTCTAGCCTTGAGCTGAAGAGCTGAGGGACAGCACCCAGGTCCAGAGTTCAAGCCCCACACCAACAAAAAAAAAGAAAAAATTCTACTTCAACTCTGTGTTTTCTTGAGTAGGGGGTATGGGTGTGTTTTGTATGGTATATTCAAAATTTGGATGCATTTTAAACAAACCTATGAGAGTGATAAGGCTTGTTCAATATTTGGTAGATATAAGGACTGTCGGTTGACACACCACATTGCTGGTTTAATGTGTTCAAGATAAGATCATGTTGCACTCATACAAAACTAGTATGCCTGTATAAATTCAGGTTTCTAAAGTCAATATTTGGCTCAAAGACTTCCCTTATTAATATTTTAATAAGAATATAAAATTATACCTCCCTAATGCAATAGAGTGGGTTCTCATAATTTAAAATTTTTATTCTTTAAATTTTAAGTCTTTAAATCTTACTCCTATAATTTTTGGGTTAATTTCGGTATAAAATTAAGGACTAAAAATACCCATTTCTGAATTTAGATGGGATTTTAAATATTTTTTTACTTAGAGTATCAATATTTTTTGCTTCTTAATTTCAATTACAAATATTTCTGGAAATCACAATTAATGGTTTAGTATGATTGAGAGAGTTTTAGAGATAACTTTGTTTTGGAGACAAAATCTTACCATGTAGCCCAGGCTGGCCTTGAATTCATGGTCCTCCTGCCTCAGCCTCTCCATCCTGGAATTACAGACTTGTACTACCACACCAGGCTTAGAAATAACTGTAAAGTTTAATCTTTCTGTAGTTTTTATGCATACTGAAATACAAAACAACTTGCCAACACTGTGCTTGTACAAATGCATCTGTGTACAAATAGACAACGTGGTTTTGTAGTGTAACACTGCCACTTGACAAGACCTTGTTAAAGACAGCAAACAGTACATGTGGCAGAATAATTTTAAATGTCTTTTAGAGTAAAGGAGAAACTGTTCATGATGTATCTGTCAGTCTCTGAATTAGTTCGTACTATCTGATTCCGTGTGAAGACTGGAGTACCATGGGCAAAATTCAGTCTATCTGAAATCCTTCCTGCTCTCATAAGCCAAATATTCTACAGTGGAATTTCATAGCATACCCTCAGAACACTGGCTTGTTCATAGGAAAGCTTGCCTCTGCCTCTGTCCCTCTGCCTTTTTATACAGAGGCAGAAAGGGGGCAAGAAGGAGCCAGTTCCTAACATGTATTTTAATGAAGAATCATAAACTCTTCAGTTGCTTTGTATGTTTTAGTTTGGTTTGCTTATATTTTTTTAGTTACCTTTTATCTTTATGTGATCATATGCTTTTTTAGGGGTGGGGGGTCCCGTCATGGGGCCTGAACTCTGGGCCTGGGCACTGTCCCTCAGCTCTTCAGCTCAAGGCTAGTGCTCTACCACTTCAGCCACAGCGCCACTTCCGGCTTTTTTCTTTTTGCCAATGTGGTGCTGAGGAATCGAACCCAGGGCCTCTGGCATGCAAGGCAAGCGCTCTACCACTGAGCCACCTTCCTAGCGCCATATGCTGTTTTTTCTTAATGCCTATGTATCAGGCTTAAAATAGAAGGAGCTTTTCAAAAGCCTGTGTGTTTTGTTTTGTTTTGTTTCTATTTAAGCTCAGATGACAATGCCTTGAGGGTACTAGACCATGGATTGACCTCATTTAAAAGAAAAATCTTTCTTTACATTTAAGTGAATGTGATAAATGCTTCTGAATCCTTTGTCTGCCTGGACCATAGAAGCTAAGTGGTAAAAGCTCATTAACTTTCTCATTAATTTTCTATATGTAATTTTGGAGATTTCTAACTTAGTATGATGACGTTAGCATCGATTACCTCTTTCCAGACATATTTTTGATGAGGAGAACTTCTGGAACACTTTAGAGGAAAAAGCACTTGAGGGGAAAAGAGCAAATTTAGGTGATATTTGTAATGCTAGAAGTAGATTGGTGGCTGAAGGTCTCCGGCTCCCGAGCCCCTGAACGGCTGAGGAGCTGTAGGGGACAGAACCGGGATTTCTGACAATGACTGATCAGCCCCAGGGTGCTGTGAGGCCCAATAGAACCAAGGGGTGAGTGAGGCACCTGACGTAAACAAACGATAAAGAGGAAATTCCTTGAGCAGTTCACATTTCTGTTCTATGAAGAGGTCGTTCAGGAGGGAGGCACGCGCCCCTGGCCCGGAGGCACCCTCACCTTGTCCTGTGCCCTAACCTTGTCCTGACCCTGCCCCGTGCCCTGTCTGTCTCACCTGCAGTTCTCCACAAGGACCTGGGGCCCTGCCGCACCGCCACCATCACAGGCACGCTGTCCCGGATCTCTCTCAATGATGACGAGGAGGATAAGGGCGCTGCGCCCGAGGGGCTGAGCTACTCCACACTGCCGGGCAACGTCCTGTCCAAGGTGGTCCTTCAGCAGCCCGCGCCGCTGCACGTACCCATGGGCAGGGGCGAGCTGGGCGCCCCATGCCTGCCCGAGGGTGGCGAGCTGCGCAGGACGGTGTACCTGTGCACGGATGAGGACCTGCGGGGCGCCGAGCGGGACCTGGGGCACCCGCAGGACCGCGTGCTGGACAGCGACTACATCGTGATGCCCAGGGGCTCCGTGAGCGCCCCGCCACCCACCAAGGACGAGAGCAAGATGAACTTGGGCATGGACACCTTGCCGCATGAGCGGCTGCTGCACTACAAGGTGAGCCCCGACTTCAGCATGGCCCCCCCAGTCATGGAGCAGTTTGGCGGGAACCTGGACCAGCTGAATGCCCCCATCCTGGACCCACACCTGGCACCCCGGGAACACATGCAGAGCATGGCCTTCGAGCCCCGCACAGCAGTGAAGAACTTCATGGCCGCGGAGCTGGATGAGGGCGCCGGGCTGTCACGGAGCGAGACGGGGTCCACCATCTCCATGAGCTCCCTAGAGGTGAGTGATGGGGTTTGGTCTGAGCCAGGCGTGGCTCGTGCCTACCATCCCAGCTCCTCCGGAGGGTGAGATCTGAGGATCATAGATCAAGGCCAGCCCGGGCTAATCTCTAGTCACCCACAGATGGAGGCAGCGTCACCTGTGGGGCTGCTTTCCTACAAACAGTGGGAATGGTGACTACCCCACTACCCAGCACAGTGTCTGGATTTGCCTGCAGCTGTGTGTGCCACAGATCTATAAAAGGAATGGCAGACTGGTGCTTCTGCATTGAAGAGGCATCTTCTGGCCAGTATCCTGGCTCAGGCCTGTCATGCTAACTATGCAGAAGGCTGAGTTCTGAGGATCGGATTCAAAGCCATCCTGGACAGGAAAGTCCCTGAGACTCTCATCTCCAAGTAATCAGCAGAAAGCCAGAAATGGAGCTGTGACTCAAGTAGCAGAGCACTGGCCTTGAGCCAAACAGCCAAGGGAGAGTATGGTGTCCTGAATTCTCAAGCCCCAGTACTGGTACAGAGAGAGAGAGAGAGCCCCGATATTTAGGAGATCCTATAGGACTTTTTGGTACAGCTTGATGATATAATTAATTCAAGGTGCTTTGTTTTCATTGGTGGTGGTGGTGGTGGTGGTGGTAGTGGTGGTGGTGGTGAAGGTGAAGGTAGTAGAGAGAGAGTGTGTGTGTGTGTGTGTGTGTGTGTGTGTGTGTGTGTGATTGTGTGTTGGAACCTCATAAAACAAAATTAGCTGGGTGCCAGTGGCTAACATCTGTAATCAGTCCTAGCTACTCAGGAGGCTGAGATCTGAGGATCACAATTCAAAACCAGCCCAGGCAGGAAAGTCCGTGAGACTCTCATCTCCAATGAACCAGCACAAAGCCCGAAGTAGAGCTGTGGCTCAAGTGGTAGAGCACTGGCCTTGAGCATAAAAGCTCAGTGACAGTGCCCAGACCCTGAGTTCAAGCCCCAGGACTGGCACAAAAAATAAACCAAAATCCAAAATGAGAACGTTTCTCTGAGTTCCACCATCACACTGACAGTAAGCTACATTGTTAGGTCAGTGTCTTACTCTCGAATGATGAGCACTGAGATTTTTGGGCTTAAACTGAGAGTTCTCTGAAAGGGTAGGATGGGAGCTCACTAGGTCAGGACTGGGAGAGCCGGCCACCTGGCGTGGGCCTCACATGAGCAAAAACACAGCCTCGGCGCTCTTCTGGCCAAAGAAAACAGCCTGCAGCTGCCACCGTCCCTCTTGTATTAAGCAATTCAGAACCAAGGTGCGCCTCATCCTCTTTCCTGTGCTAATACCCTGTTGCTGCTCCTGGGTGATATTACATCTCCAGCAGCCTTGCAGTAAACTGGTCATGGGTAGATATGCGCAGTGCACAATTCCGAGTGTGCATTCTTCTCCATGCATGGCCAAATGTGCTGGTGTACCAGAGCCTGCCCCACAGTGATTTAGAGAACGGCCTTGTGATGGCCGGCAGCTCCCATTGGAACTGTGCAGTATGTGGCGTGTGTTCCACTGTCCACAGGCCCCAGAGCGGTTGTTTGGAGACTCAAAGCTGTTCTCAGCTCTACTGAGAAAATTCCATAGCACCTTCAGGGCAGGACTGCTGTCTAGAAGAAGGCTGTGCCATCTGGAACAGCCTCTCACAGAATCAGGGCTCTGAAAGGAGCCAGGTCAAAAGACTTTTCTGCCACGTTTAAAGAACCAAAAGGCAGAAGACAGGTTTGGTCTTCAGCCAGGAGCAAGAAGAAAAGTCTAGGAGGGCTAACTTGTGGTGAGCAGCAGTCAGGACGGCCCTGACTATAGCCACCTGAGCCTGTGTGAGGCACTGCAGGGAGAAGTTTAAAGAACAGAACACCAGAGACTAGAGTTGGCCGCAGGTAAAGGAATCCACAAAGAGAAGCATGTGGAGCCCGGGGCCCGGGTCTCCTGGATTCTCCTTGCTTCTCTGACTCTCCCACTCAGTCCTGCCTTCCCGGGTGGGCAGGTGTCGTGTAGCTGGGTTTCGGGAGGGTCTGCACAGGACCCCCTTCAGAGCCGGAGTGTGAGGTCCCCCTGCCCCCTCCCCTCCCCTACCTGGACCCCCACTCTTCCCCATGTGGCCTACACAGTTACAAATCTCCCTCGGAATCATTTCCAGAACCCAAGTGCAGACAGGGGCCGAGTTCCACTCAGAGTGACTGGAACCTGTGGGCAGAAGCGAAGCATCCTTTTGGATTAGCAGACTATTTCCTTAATTGTAATTTTCCTATCAAAATATATAGTGCCCTCATTAGCATAAACTAAACAAAACGTTCATGCAAACTTCAAGAGCCTTTGGGAGAATTCTGAGTGAGCTTACATAGAACAACATAATATCAAAAGAAATTGTGGCACTGATGGCTCACGCCTATAATCCTAGCTACTCAAGAGACTGAGAGCTGAGGATCATCCCAGGCAGAAAGGTCCATGGGACTTATCTCTAATTCAACACTAAAAGGCCAGAAGGGAGCTATGGCTCAAATGGTAGAGTGCCAGCCTTAAGTTAAAGCTAATGGACAGTGGCCAGGTCCTGAGTTCAAGCACCAGTACTGTCACAAAAGAACAAAGAAAAAAATTGTAATGACCATATGAGAATTTTCCTCAAAGTGGCTTTTTAACGGTGCTAAAGACATTTAAAGAATATTGCATTAGAATACTTTAGTTGCTGTAAAATAGTTTTACATCCAAAGCCTCATTGAGCTTGATACTGTACAGGCTATTGGACAGCCTGTGTACAGAATGAGTTTGTTCTTCTTATGCTTTCTTCACATCTATTCTTATTATTAAGCATAAGATCACATGTAATGATGATTCTGGCAAAAGCCACCGGCTTGCACACTGTAAAGGAAGGAAATTCAGCATTCAGAGTAAAAGCTCACTTTTTACTCTCTAAAAGGATGTAATAGTCATACTTAAGGTGACCATTTTAGCAAAGAGAACATACAGATGGGGGAGTAAACAATAAAAATTAACATTTGTAGAATGTCTTTCATTAGCATGAATTAATTCCTCCTCCACATTCTCCATGTGGCAGGTTACAGAGCAAGAGCCTGACAGCGGTCTTTCTGGCAGGCCGAGTCCCTGCTCTCTAGAGGAGAGGCTGGGGCTAGCAGGAAGGACCCTTCAGAGCTCCTTGCTGACTCTGGCTAGGCCTGGCTGGAGGCATGGAGGTAAGGCCTCACGGCAAACAGCTGGCAAATTGCAGGCAGTGGGCTGGCAGAGCCGCATTGGGGAGAGGTGCGCCGATACTGCTGGATTTTGGTCACCAGGGCCAGTAGAGGACAGTGACACACAGAACACGGCCTGGGCATGCGCCGAGGAGGGAGCGCAGCAGGGCCGGCAGTCTGAAGACGGAGGTGGGAGACAGTGAGCACTCTGGGAGACCCAAGCCCAGAACAGCTGGAGTCTTGGGCCCTAACCAGAGCTCCCGAACCTATAGGAGGCTCCTCCACCACCCTCCCATCGTCCTGCCCAGGACAGCATACAGACCCTGGGGTGTGTGTGGATACAGAATCTGCCTCCAGAGTTGTTGTCATATTACCACCCTGGGAAGGAAGCAGAAGAGGGCGAATGCACAGAATTCAGTATTCATGAGCATCCTGCACACCGGGGGGGGGGGGGGGGGTTGCGGGGGGGCAGTGTTGAGGTAGAAAGTAAAGGAGCCAAAGAGATTTGAGGGGGCAAGTGGGTGGGAACACATATTCAAGTGAGGATGGGGAGCAAAGTGAAGGCCTCCCGCAGGAAGCCCAGGCTCCTGAGACCCAAGGGACCCTCCACCGGAAGCCTAGGCTCTGGGGTCCTCCCCCTCTAGAAGCCTGGGCTCCGGGCCTGTGCCACCAGTCCCCAATTGTCGGGGGTGAAATGTCTAACATGGCAAGTGCATTGGCATAAAAGAAGATCCAGGCGTTTCTCTACTCTCATTAGTTTTGTTTCTTATTTCCTCAAATGGCCTCTGTTAAGCAACCGGGAGAATGTCAGAGGTTCTGCAGTGACTGCAGAAGAGTCAGTACAGGAGAACTTTTTAGAAGAAGGGCTTCCGCTCTCCATGTCCTCTGCCTGTTTTGTGTAAGGTGAAGAATGGAATTATCTTCAGCACTCTAGCCATCCACTTCAATTAACTCAGTAGCGTGTGGGTGCGTGGTGTGCATATTGATGTGGGGAACGCTGAGCGAGGACCAAGGAGGCATCTTATTCACAAGGACTGTGAAATCCAGGGTCCCTGTGGGACTGCAATGCCCTTCACTTATTTGCTGGAACAGCATCGTTGCATTAAGGCCACTCACTGAAGCTCGGGGTTCCTTCCAGAGCCGGTTATGTACCTGTCCTGGGCCTGCTTGGCATCTGGTCCCCCAAGGTCTTGCTCGGGTTCATTCAGGGTCCTGGGGCCGCTAACTTTGGATGCAGCCCAGGAAAGCAGAGCCGGAGACTGGAGTTAGGACGAGAGGAAGCAGGGTCGCCACACCTGTGCTCACTTCCTGCCTCTGCCCACGGCCCGAGGCCAGCCACTCCGTCGTCAACCCAGCCTCTTGGTCATTTCCATGCTACCCAGCATGGAAATTGACCTCCTTTCGCAGGTCAATTCTTGGGGAATGTTTGGCTCCAATGTAAATACACTAAAATAGATTCTGTCTGGAGATTCTTGCCTTAAGTTTTTCATCAGCAAAAATCTGACAACGGATAAAAGATTACAAGTTCAAGAGATATCAGTTAGATAAAGGTAAACATAAATTCTTTCATGAAAACGGGAACCTGCTCTGGAGACGGTGGTTCATGCCTGTAGTTCAAGCTGTATACCTGAGAGGCATAGAGAAGGGAAACACAAGACTGGAAATTAACTAAAATATTGTACTTCATGACAGGGACATGACTCAAGTGGTAAAGTGCCTGCCAAACACTCGTGAGGCCCTGAGCTTCAGCCCCAGTACAAAAAGCGAAGCATGTCTTCCCACTTCAGCTCTCACTCCTATACACAAGCT